TTTTACTCCAAGTGGAATTGAAAACAAAAGCTCACAACTTAAGAGCTCACTGCTTGTTTATGTTTCTCTGAATAACAAACTTTAAAAGTAGCATGATAATTGCCACCAAATGCCTCAGAGTTTCCAGTCAAACCTCTGGTTCAAATCCTTACCTCTGACTCTCAAGCAGGAGACCTTGGATAAATCATGAAGAAACTTTTGCTTCCTCATCTGTAAAGTGTGGATATCTTTCTCAGAGTATTTGTAAAGTTTGAATGAAATCATGCATATAATTGACCTGGCACAGAACGGGTCCTACTAAAATATCACCCATTTCCTCCTTGGGACAGTCACTAAATAAGAAATGGCTGGGTATTAAGGGGAATTAGGAGCACACAGCTGAGAATCACCATTCAAGCTTTGGGGCCTCTCTGTGTGACACTGAGTCAGAACAAGGCAGAAGGATGCACGCAGGCTGAATAGCCTTTAACCAAAAGGCTCGCGCTCATAGCTCCAAGTTTCTGGCTTCCTTGGATTTTTGAATATTTGAATATGCATATTGTGATGTCTCTGGAATGAGACCCAGGTCTAAACACAAATCCCTTGTGTTTCATATACATTTTAGACCCGTAGCTCACAAGGAATTTTACCAATAACTTAAATACTGTGAAATTTTTCAAATTAGATTGTCCTACCAGCACTCAAAAAGTTTCTGATTTTTAGAGCATCTCTGATTCTCAATTTTCAGATGAGGGATGCCTCACTACATCAAATTCTTCCTGAGGCTCAAATGTGATTAGCATGTTAGGCTAAGCTTGTCAGGATATTTTTGATGCTAGGTGCAATATATTTTAATTTAGAGTCTTGCTAATTAGCGAGTAACAGAGTCCTACAGAGGAAAAATAATTAGCCCCAAAGGGCACACAGGCAGTGGCCCTGAGGTCCACCCCTGTGCTCTGTTCATCCCACACCCCCAGCAAAGCTCTTGCTCATATGCTCCAAACAGCACTGCTGGAAAAGCCAAGGCACAGCTGACTTTCGGATGAAAACTTCAAAGGGTGAGGACGGTTGCACCTGTCTGTTTAAAGCTGAGTGCTCCTGCTTCTGTAATATAAGCCTTTAGGTTGTTGAAAACATTTCCCAATTTTTCTTTTATTTATTTCCTTTCTTTCTTTCTTTCTTTCTTTTTTTTGCATAAGGTCACGTGCTGATCTTCGAGATAAGTAACTGGTTGGCTCACCAAAGGTAGGGTGGCAGGGCTTGGAAAATAGTTTAAATTGTCATGTCAGCTGTGCTACAAATTGTAGATTGGAGAATTTTGATTATATGATAACCCATAAATGTTAGTGTAGGATTTTATTATTTTATGTTACATTCAATAATGTTACCCACTATAATCCTTGTGGACAAAATTGACAAATAGGTATTATTAGACACAGAGAGGTAAGAAAAATAGAATGGATAAGTGTCTTGTTCCAGATCACATAGCTAGTGGATGACAGACGACTCAAATTATAGTCTCCTGAATTTTAGAAACATTTTAAAAACCTCTGTATAATATATCAATCACTATCATGATAAAAGGGACTACACCAATGCTTAAGAAGCCAGGTGTGATGGTGCAGAGCTGTGATCCCAGCATTCTGGGAGGCTGAGGCAGGAGAAACACAAGTTTTATCCTATCCTGGACAATTTAGCAACTTAGTGAGGTCTTGTCTCAAAACCTTTTTAAAGGGCTAGAAATATAACCCAGTGATGAAGACCCTGGGTTCAGTCCCCACTAGTGGAAAAAAAGAATGGAGACTAGAGTTCAACATCTGGTTTGTGCCCAAGTTCAGACCCCGATTCTGCGTGCTGTGAAGTGGAGAAGATGGTAACAGTAAAAATAATGGTGAAGAATAAGAAATGAAACTTCAGCTCTTTCCAGGACTGTTACAAATATTTTAATTAGTATTTCTGAAGCACATTATTAGTAACGTGCCTGTGTATAATATGTTGAACAACAGAAGGCATTATTTTGACTATCTTCAAGGGTATGTTATTCTCAGTTTCATAGGTGTGAAAAACAAAGCCAAGAAGTCAATTATGGGCAAAACCATAGAGTGTGACCCCAAGATCAGTTTTGTCCCTGAGGGGCGAAGCTCAGCTGTGGCTTTTGGAGAAGTCAAACACAGAATACAGAACAGCTCTCAGGTTGGATGGGGAAGGCACTGAATTGAATATTTACATCAGGTTCCTTAATCACTTACTGATAAGGCCTGAGTGTTAGTTTTCCAGGGCAATCATGGGGGCAAGGAATTCTGGCAAGGCTCAGCTGGGTGACAGTTCTGTTGCAAGGCGCTGGGCGAGACATTCGTAGCAATGAGCTGACGTAGAAAGTCCAGTTCTCAGCATAAAGGGCCAGGGAAAAGTGTGGTTGGAACTGTGAACCAGCGCCCAACTGAGGCCTGAATCTGTGGCATGTAGACAGCTGGCCTGGGGACTCAGAGCTGCAGGGCTCAGTGCTCTCCTCAGGTGGCCTCCAAAGCCCACAGTGCCACGGGGGCCATTCTGTGCTGGCTGAAGCAATCACAGGTCTGCACAGACTCCATGACGATGGAACACCTGTGCAACCAGCAGCACCCTGCTGTAGGTGTGTTACCTCCCTCTACCTGCAGCCTAGCCGAGGCCTCTAAACCGCAGCAGCCACATTGTTACTCAGCCCTTCTATCTGACTCCTGGTCTCCCTCACCTTCTATGTATCAAGTCATCTTTATACACGTTGACATCAGTCTTCCAGATGTTCGGCTTCCCATCTGGGTCACCAACCATCCCCCATTTTCTTCCTCAGCTTTTAGGGGGAATCCAATCTATCAGCAAATCCTATTGCCACAACCTTTAATACATAGATGCTCCTCAACATACAATGTGTTCTGTGCCAACAAACCCAAGTCACACTGGAAATACTGTCTACCAAAATGCATTTTATACACTCAGCCCCCCACACTCATGGGGCACCAACATGGCACACAGCAGACTAAGGTCATTTACCCCCTGACCACACAGCTGCCTGGGACAGCTGCCTGAGACATTACACTCCCTGGCATCGTGTGAGGACTGCACCACATAGCTCCAGTCCAGAAAAACACCCAAATTCAAAGAGCAGTGATCACTGAATGCATCCTGCTTTTCTACCACTGTGAAGTTGAAGCATCACCAGATGACCATCCTGAGTCAGGGACTACCTAGAATCTGACCACTTCCGGCCACCATCACTGCAAAGGTAGGCATACCTTCTTGTTTGGATTTGTGCAACACCCCCCTACCTGGCCAACCAGCTTCTGCTCTCACCTTCCTTACCATCTGGGTTCAAAACCAGAGCCAGATGATTCTTACAAGTATAAGTTGATTGTGCCACTGAGCAGCTCAAAATACTTGAGTGGTTTTCTGTCTTACTCAGAGAAAAATCGAGTTTCTGCAGTTGGTTTTAGAGCACACGTGATCGGACTTCTCTACCCTGACCCTTCCCTCCCTCCCCTCCTCTTTGCCAGCCATTCTACACATTTTGCTGTTCTCTGAGCATACAGACACGTTTCTGCCTCAGGGCCTTTACACCTGCTATTTTCTTCTACCTCCAGTTTCACCTGGTAGTGATACCCTCCTTGGGACTATGCCACTCAAACAGCACCCTCTGCTCGCTGCCCCCGAACCTTTAAAACTTTCTGTGCTTTGTGCATCCACATGGCACTTACTGCTATCTGATCTATGATTTCATTTCTTTTCTCCTAGAATATATAAAAACTAATATTTCTGACTGATTTCTTCTTGCACTTGCAGTACCTAGAATGGAATCTGTCCACACAGATTTTAGAGCAGGTGTCTAAAAAAGTGTATTTTCTAAAAAATAAACCAAAATCTTCCTGGTGAGAAACCAATATTGATATTTCTATCATTTTTACCCCTCCCTGAGCAGTGAAAGTGATGCAATCATATGTGTACTTCGTAAAAATGTTACTACTAACAGATACACTCTTTGCACATTCTTCTCCAAATTGCCTGATATCCTACCCGCTGCCACCCTCGCTCGCACTGCCTGGCTTGTGCGTGGCACTCAGCAGGGGTTATCAACAAGCCAAGCCCCCGACGCTACTTCCCAGCAGCGCGACACGGAGCAGAAATAACAAGCTGACCCATTTCCCTCTCCTAGAGTAGAAGGGCAAACAGCATCGACCTGTCCTTCTGCAAATAAACGGCAACAGAGAATCCTGCAAAGCTCCAGTCCCTCACAGAGGGCAACACGTAAGTCACTTTCCTGTCTAGTACCCGGATTCAACCCGCTCGGCCTGGCACTTTCCCCCAGAGGAGGAATTTCTCAGACACTGCTAAGCAGCTGTGGGTGGGGGCAGCCGGGAGGGTCCCGACCAGACAGAGCAGAATCCCTGACGCCGGGCTTGCCCTGTCTCCAAACTCAGCTAACTCAACTCTGGACTGGCAAGGAGAGGCTGCCCGGGGACAAAGGGGAGATTTTCCTGGCCCAAAACAGCTGCGGTGCCCTTTGTCCCCACTTAAAAGCAAACATCTGGAAGCCCACGCAATCCATAGGAGAAAGTGATTTGCTTCCAAACGTAGCGCGCGCGCGCGCACACACACACACAGAACACTCTGGCTTGGTCAGCCCAACCAATAACCTCCACCATCAGAGAGCACCGGGGCTCTCAGGAGGGGAAGGGAGACTCTTGGCAGGGCGCCCCACACCCCATCAACTCTGTGTCACAAGCACCAGCCTCTAATCCGGTGAAGAGCTTGTTGGGGTAATCCTGTTTCAGAAGAGGAAACTGAGGGCTCAGAGCACAGACGCAGTTGCCCAGGGCCACAGTTAGTAAGCAGAAGCCAGTGTAAAGTCCCAGGCCGCGGGAGCGCAGGGCCCACGAACCCCCGCCTAGGCTGCGCTGGGCCAAGGGGGCGCCCGGCGCCTCCCGGCTCTCAGCAGGGAGAACCAGAGCAGACAGGCAGGCTGGAGCAGTCCCGAGTGGAGCTCTTACCTCTTCCATCGTCCTCACGCCCGTGAGGCAGGCTGGGTCAGCAGCCCAGCTTCCCAGAGCTGGACCCGGGCCCAGGGGCGCCCTGCTTCGCCTGCCTGCCGGAGCCGGGGCTGTCCACCTGCTGCACCTGGGCCGCGGCCCCGCCTCCGCCCCGCCCAGCTCCGGTCCCCTGGCTCAGGGGGCGGATGCTGCAAACACAAGGACCCAGCCCCCACCGTAGGCCGCAATTCCAGGGGGCTCCCCAGGCTGGCGCAATTACCCACTGCCCATGAAGGGGCTTCTCTTGGTGCCCCTGTCCGGGGAATTGCTCAGGCTGGACACCCTGGCCTGCACTGATCCCCTAAGTAGCCGCGAATGGCCACTTAGTTTCACAGAAGCCTTCCTCCTGGCCTGGGATACCAGCGCTGGAGGGACAGACGTGTGCTAAGCTTAGGGGTATTCACAGACAAATTCTTGAAATAAAAAACCTCTGCTGTCTAGGTTGGGGAGAGGAGGCCCCACCTTGGGGTCCACTTCCTCTGCTGGGTGGTTTTCGAATTGTTCGAGCCTAGAATCTATTCAAACTACAATCGTTAAGGGCACCGGGTCTGGCTGAATGGATATAGTGTAAGCATTAGGCCAGTGTGTTTTAACTGTATTAATGAATAACCTTTGCACAGTAACTGAGTGTACACAAGGCACATGTACTCGTAAGGTAAAATAGAGACTTCTTGAAGCAAACATCACTTTTACTTTACATGATCACCCTGCCATTTTCTATTCTTTTCTGAGCCATCACATGCCCCTTGCTTGACAAGTGGTCAGCGCACTGACCCGGTGGCTCCCATTTTGAGTTTGATCAACACTGCGGTGTAGACGCTGCGCACAGTCAGACTGGGCCGCGCTCCTTAGAGCCAGATGGAGGTCCAGCACTCAGCTCAGCGTCTTCTGCCAGCCCCCTTGGCCCTTTCTTCTTACTCCTGTCTCTGTAGCTCTGTAAATCAGAGAGCTCCCAGGCCCCGCGGTGGGGTAACTGACCCTTTCCCCGCGCTCCTAGTGCAAGGGGTCCCCCTGGTGGGGGCAGGCCAGACAACCGCGGTGGAAGGGCTGGGAGGGCAGCTGAGACCTCGCCTGCCTATGGCATCTGCCTGTTTTGGTTTGATTCTGGGACAGATGCAGTTGGAGGTCCCAGGGCATAGTAGGCGCTGTTAGTACCTGCCTTGCCAGTGGGTTGAAGACCAGTAACCTGGAACCTTGTGCTATCCCGATCCTCAGGCTGTGAATGTAAGTTTTCTACTAGTTATTTATTACCCTGGAAAAGCCACCAGAGCTCTCTGAGATGCATGCCCTCCATCCTTCAGGCTGAATAAGAAGGTCCCTAGCATTGCTGCGTGAACTCCTGTAGGATGAGATGCACTGTGTGGACACCCATAGGTGAGTTCCTCTTTTTCCCCACTGGGAAAGCTTCAGTCACTAGCAAAAGCAGAGCCTACAGATGCACAGATGAAGTGATGTTTCTTTATTTCCCTGCTCAGATTCCAGTGTACTTGGGAGTCCTAACCTACAGGTCCTTGTATTTGGCTTGCTTGTGCATATTTCCATGGGTGGAGGAGGTAGACCAGATGTCTAAACAATGCAGGCACCCCAGAGAGCATTTTGGATGTGAAATTTGGGGTTTGACTTAAAATCAACCAAATTAACCTTATGAATAAATATTTTAATTCAATCAAGAAGTGTGAGGTCCTAGTATGCACAAGGTGTTTTGGGGACCTCGAGCCTGGTTGTCCCTAAAAGTTCCACTTAATCATAGACAAAGAAATGGCAGAACAAGCATCTGTCTGTTGCCTGCGAGATCAGTGCTGTAGACCTCCCAAATCTCACCTTATTTTGTCCTTCTTATGACCCTCATTTTCCTTTTGAGAGGAGTGAGAAGCATAAAAATTAAGTCACATTATGCAGAGGAACACAGCAAGCAGAAATCTCAATTCAGGCAGCCTGGCTCTAGACCCCACACTCTCAGCTGGTCTGTTGAATCTTCAAGAAATACTGAATAGTAAACTGTCAGCATTCAAGAGCTTGAAGGGTTCTTTGAAGTGAGTTTTTCCAAATTCAGTCTTGAAAGTAGGCTGTGAGAGCGCATAGGGTACTTAGGCTACAGTGGGAGTGGGAATCTTCTAGCTATTTCTGGTCTTTTTAGCCCCTCGTTTCTGCTTGCTCCTCCTGTAAAGGCAATGGTCTCCAAGAAAGGTCTCTTCTATTCTTTGGGGCACTGAGCAGCAAAATTAGTATTTCCAGCACATGCATTCTGTTTCCAAACCTTACTTTCAGTCTCTGATAATGGCTTGAAGCCTTTCTGTGTTTCCTGTCCTGGCCCAGTCTTTCATTTCTTGGCAAACATGTTACATACACTTTGCATGGTAAGGAATGGTTTGTAGCTGAGTCTCTTGAACAGGGACATCCCCAAAAATCTCAAATTGGGAGTACATGTGCATCTCCATCTTCCTGGTTAAACTTGGGTACTCTGTGTCTCAGGATGACAAAGCCAGCACATGTAGATTGACTGTCAGAGCGAGGATGCCACTGCCAGAGCACCCTATTATTAATATTAAAATTATTATTGGTTACATTAATCATGTCTGAGTGTTTCCAGCATAACGTGTAATTTATTTATGTATAATTTATATCCTGACTACTTTCAAAAGGGAGAGAAGGAAAGAGGAAAGGAAGCTAAATTTATTGAGAGTCTAGGGTGTAACAAGCTGCACAGTTAGCATATATTTTCCCTCTGTTACTGGTATTTTGAGACAAGCAACGTTGTCCTCCGCTGACAATTAGGAAAGCAACGGTCGGCAAGGCCGGGCACGCGTCCCAGCTGTGTCGGCGCAGGCGTGGTTCTGGGTAGGACTCCACACTGCCTCTTCCATCCTCTGCTGGCTCTCAGAAGGCTTGAGGGACTGGTTAGTCACCAGCTATTAAAAGAGGACGCTAAAGCCTATGACAGCCGCATAGAGGAGAAGCAATTGCAGATGAGCAATTAGAATGGGACAGAGATAATCATTGTGGAAATACGGGATCAATCACTCCAAGGCATGTAATTATATGAAGATAAACCGTTTAAGGATAGAAATGCCTCAAGGTAAATTGGAGGTCTGTGGGCTCCAAAAAGGTCTTGCTTCCTTTGTATCAGTTTGGAAAAACTGTGTGATCTAGCTGGCTTCTTTTTTGTCTTAAAAAAAAACAAACCCTCACATCTCAATTTGGTACTTATCTAAGTAAACATCTTAACATTATATAATAACTTAGCGAGACTGTTTTTGAAAGCTATTAAGTAAACATGACCAAGGCAAGTTGCTTCCCTTTTCTTAGTCTTTTAATAGAATCTCAGCACTTGCTTCATGGCAGAGGCCCCGCGTGGAGCCAGGGAGGATGCAGCACCCCTTTAGGTTCTCGTAAGGAAATCACTTTCCTCCACTAATGCCAGTTAATTATGTATGCGTCGTTCAGATGAATTATTAAGATGTTTTCTGATATGCTTGTCTTGTTGAGATCAAAGGAAGATCATTCCCCTGTGGCTAGGAGATGCAACTTGCCTGGAAGTAGGAAATCATTACCAATATCAATCGCTCCCATGTTCCATCACCCAGAAAAATGAGTCCTTAGCTACAAAGGTTGAGCAGGGAATCCCCTTCTCTCTTTGGGCCTTGTTTACTTGGAATGGACTTCAAAGCAAACTCGTCCTTCCTGATTGCAATGCTGCCAGGCTCAGAATACTGAGAGGTAGGCAGGCAGGTCTTTCCATAAAATGCACAGGTCCATTGGTGAGTTAGTCCATTTCAGCTGCTATAACAAAATATCTTAGGTCAGGTAATTTAAAGCAGCATACATTTATGGTGATGGTACTTGGAAAAGGCAAGATCAAGACACCAGCAGGTGTCTAGTGAGGACCCAGCCCCTGCTTGCAAGATGCTGCCTGAGCCCTGAATCCACTGGAGATGAGCACAGCATCTTCACATGGAAGGAGGCAGAGGGGCCAAGGGTCTCTCGAGCTTGCACTGGCCCTTGTGTAAGGCACCGATCTCTCCCATGTGGGGAAAGCCCTCCTGTTCTATTCCCATCTCTACCTCTTGGTGCTTAGTGCTTAGTGTTGCCTTGGGGGTTAAGTTTCAATGTGGACTTTAGAGTAAATACACACAAACCATAGCAATTGATATGTGACTTACAAATTACAATTTAGGTAGCTGATTTCTTCTGAATTAGAAAACTCTAATCAAGCCTGAGTTAGCATTGTTTTTCTCAGTGAGATGACTTCTGTTCACCAGGTGTCCTTGCCTGGTTCCCTTTGTCTCTAGGTGCCTCCCACCTCAGAAAGTTGTGCCCCGATTCTGTGGATATAAGATGTATGTGCAGGACTCCTGGGGAGCAGGGCCTAGATGGCCTCTGAACTGTAGCTGCAGGGCAAGGGTTCACTGAAGACTCGTGAACTCCATGTTGTAGTCAGGGGTTGTACAGAGAACAATTAGAATCAGGACACAGAATTTATAATATTAGTTATGATCGTAACCCAGAGTTAACCAAAGAAAGTGAAGGAAATCTGTCCACAACACTAAAGACACAGAGTATTCAGTCAAGGGCCTGAATCCCACAGCAATGTCCTGCATGAGTCCAGATGAAGACCTAGAGCTCATGACAGTGTCTCTCACGAGTCCAACTGGAGGTCCAGAGCCTACGAGAATGACTCACACCAGTCTCTTTTACGGATCCATGTGGGGAAGGCCCAAAGGTCAGCAGTGAAAGCTAGGAAGTCTATGCCAGCAGGGTGAAGGAGCTGTGCTGGTAGGTTGACGGTTCTATGTTAGAGCCAAGAAGTCACACTCACATTAAGAACCAGGGGATGCCCTGAAAAGTACTACAGCCATCCTCAGCGACACAGAGGCTCCAAGTTCCTCCAGTGGTGAGCACAGTGGAGTACATGCCAGGAAGCCAGTGCGATGAGTTTCTCCTGGAGATTAAACAGCACACATCTACCCCTCCAGAGCCAGGAAGCATTCTTTGATGTAGGGACCAGAGTGCCCCCAAAGTGAACCACAGCCACTCTCACCAACAAGGTCCCGAGCTCCTCTGATGACAAT